GGGCGGTGGCGGCGGCCCGGCGGGCGGGCGGGGGCCCCGGGGCCAGGGGTCTGGGGCAACGGCCGGCCGCGGGGGGCCGAGGGCGCGGGCCGTGGAAGGGGGCGCGGGAACCCGGCGAGCCGCCTCAGCCTGGCGCCGGGCGCGCGCCCCGCTCCCGCTACTCGGCACGGGCGCGCGCCAGGCGGCGGCTCAACCGAAAGCCCGGAGCCCGGAGCCAGACCCCTGAGCGCGCGCGCGCGCGCGGTGACGTCACGGGCGCGCGCCCAATCGCCGCCGGCGAGGCCGCCCCGCGCTCGCGCGGCCCCGGCGGCCCTCAAGCCGGGACGTGGGAGGTGGCGCCCTCCCGACCGCCCCGCGCGCCCTGTGCAGGGGGTCCGCCCGTGCTGGCCGCGGGCCCGGCGCCCCAGCGGTCATTTGCCCCCGTGGTTCTGGGGTCCCAGGCCAGCAGGAGCTCTGGCAGGGGAGGGGAAACCTGGTCTGATCGTGCCACCGGGATCCGGGAGAGCGGAGGTCAGGCTCCAGCCGGCCCTGCCGGCGAATCCCAGCCGGAACCTTCTCAGGGGAGCTTTGTGGAGGTGCTCCCGGTGCAGAGGTCCTCGCCAGGCCTACGCTCCTGGGGCCCACATTACAAACTGTCAGGACGGCCGGCGCGGTGGAGAGGAGGCGGGGGCGGGGGGCTCCCTCTGCAGAATTATCTGCAGGGCGAGGATTCAGCCCGTTTCCCCCACCGCCCAGGCTCCTGTCTGGCTGGTCTGGATCTGGGGGTAGTGGGGAAATCCGTGGTCAGAAGCAGGTCTCGTCGCAAGCCCCAAAACTGCTGGGGGCTTGTGCCATTCTAGTGAGGCTGGGGCGGGGAAGAAGGGCAGGGCAGGCCCAGATGTGCCAGCCCATGGTCAGGGGCCAGCTTTGGGAAGATCACCGTAGCTTGCCATGAGGACAGTGGGCTGGTGCATAGAGTGGACAGAGTATGCCAACAGGGGCCCCGTTCAAGGAGGTCTTCCCGTCTAGCCTCAGTTCCAGAGAGCCACCTCATTGCTGGTCTCACCGGTCCCAGGGGTAGCCACACGCGGTGTCCAGCTGAAAGGGATTACAGGATTGTTCATCCCTCTGTCCAAGAGCCATGTGGTGAGGTCCTACTCTGTGCTGCCCCCTTGCAGCATGCTGGGGAGCCTGAGCCGCCAGAAAAGACACCCCTCTCCCATCTGGCACTGCCAGGACTCTCCTCTGGCCACCAGGAGCCCCTGGAAGGTGTCTAGCTAGGTGCTGGCCCGTTCACATTTGCCCTTTGCCGTATCTCTAGGCTGTAGGGAGACTAGTTGCCTCTCTGGCCCTGGAATCCCTCTGGGGCACAAGCGTGAAAACTGCTTGCCTCCTCAGTAGCTTTAAATCACGGCAGTACAAGACAGATACCACCACATCTCATTTGATTTCACAGATTCGGAATTAGGGCTCCTCTTTAAAATTGCATTTAGAATAGTGCAATCAACATGTAAATTTATTCAAAACATGAAAGCGTGTGTTTGGATTTTCTTGAAAGTTATTTGGGGCTGGCTGATCTTTTCCCGCCCAGCGCAGACCTTCCTGGGCCAGCCCTACTGTGTTGTGGGGATCCCGAGCCCTTTTCATCGAGTCTGGCCAGGTGGCCAGCCCCAGCCCTGCACACTCTGGGGCCTCTGCCGTGGAAAGTGTATTTCCCGTGATTGGGTCTCCATCCGTGCAGAGGAAAAAGAGGCCCTCACAGGACTGACAGGTAGGCTCCTGGTTGGGGAGGCCCAGGGCAGTGGGAGCCCCAAGCCTGGTAGGCCCAGAGGGCTGCGGGACACTCAAGGACGTCAGCAGCTGGGGCTGAAGCTTGTTTCGGCCTCTTGCAGACTCAGTCACTTATCCAAATGAAAGCGCCACACTCGGATAGGAGAGAAGAGACTACAGAAGACCAAGGGACTTGAGTCTGCTCCCGATGTGAAGTAGTGACCACATAGGAGAGGATTTCAGAGGGCAAAGCCAGCCCCACCCTGACCTTTTGGGGCTCAGCGGTCCTCTGTCTCAGCCCCCACCTGCTGCCCCCCTCCCAACCTCTCAGACCAAGGCCACGCTGGCAAGGCATTTAGGACCAGGGTACCCCAGTCCTGCCTGCTAGCTCTGGGACCAGCCCAGCAGACAGAACAAGGGCTCAAGCGGAGCTGGATGTCCCCTGGCCACAAGGTCTGCAGCCAGGCCACCTCTGGCTGCCTGCTGTCTGTTACCACCCACCAGGGCATACAGCTCAAGGAGGCCCGACCCGTTCCATGATTTCCATGTGACCCAGGCTGGAGCCCACTCTACCTCCCTGCTCCCCATTGACCCAGGCCCCGCAACTCCTGGCCCAGGCCTCCCTGTCAGAGCTGCTACCAGAGGCCAAGCCCAGGCCCCTTAGCTAAAGGAGTCCCTGAGCCCCGGTTTGGCCGCCCCATCCCCCACCAGGGCCAGGGTCCCCTAGAGGCCAGGCTCATTGCTGTTTCCATGGGGATGTGTGCACTCTGACCCCAGCCTTTCTCCATCCCTGGCCAAAGAAAGAGGGCTTCCAAGTGGAAACCAGTGGTCTCAACTCCCCCTCCTCCCGTGCCCCAGGTGGCCCCTGCCTCCAAGGAGGGGAGGGGAGAGACCCTCCTTTCTCAGCCCAGGGCAAGCCAGAGCCCAGGCCTAGTGGGCGGGAGGCCTCCTACCCCCAGCCTTCTCTGAGCAGCCCCTTCCCAGCTCAGACCTGTGTTCCCTGGGCTGACAGCTTGCCCTTCTAAAGGCCCAGCTCGCCTCAGCTCCTGCCAGGCCCAAGCACCACTTCAGCTCCCTGGGCCAGCCCACAGAGCCAGCAGGCCGTTAGGCCCCTTGGTCACGTGGGCCAACCCTCCATTGAGCAGGGGCCCCCGGCAGGCCAGGAGATGGACATGGAGACTGAAGCCCTGCTGAGAAGCCCCCCGCCCAAGTCCTGGCTGGGAGGCCCGAGCCGGAGGCCTCGCCAGCTTCCCTGCCCACCTCCTATCCATCCGCCTCGGGGCTGACCTCTGGGAGGCCCTGAGAGGACTGCAGTGTCTGTCCTCAGTCTCCAGGAGTAAACCACAGCCCAGGACAGTGGGCCGGTCCTGAGAGCAACCTCAGAACCATCTTCCCCACCTCCCCACCCCCACCAAAGTCCCCTTCCGGCCTGGGGCTCACCCCTCCTCCTAAGTCCTCCACTGAGCTGGCCGCTCCTTCCCTGCCACTCTGCCCCTCCCCCACAGGCCCTCAGTTCGGCTTCTTACTAGGAATTAGGAGGCGGCTTTCAACCCACCGATTTCTCCTCCTTTAGTTCATTCTCTGCACCTAGCCAGGGGAACTTTTCTAAACCACAATATGTCAGCCACTTGCATAAAACCCTGCTATGGCTCCCCAGCGAGCTTCACACAAAGCCTGCTGCTCAGTGAGACTTGAATCCTACATTCAGGAATGGGGAGGACATTGAGCTGTGCCTCTCAGTCCACCCCTCTCCCCAGAACGTGTTCAGTCGCTCAGTCGTGTCCGACTCTGCAACCCCATGGGCTGCAGCACACCAGGCTTCCCTGTCCTTCACTGTTTCCCAGAGTTTGCTCAAACTCATGTCCTTTGAGACGGTGACACGTCCAACCATCTCATCCTCTGTCGTCCCCTTCTCCTGCCTTCAGTTTTCCCCAGCATCAGGGTCTTTTCCAATAGGTCGGCTCTTAGTATCAGGTGACCAAAGTACTGGAGCTTCAGCTTCAGCATTAGTCCTTCCAATGAACATTCAGTGTTGATTTCCTTTAGGATGGACTGGTTGGATCTCCTTGCAGTCCAAGGGACTCTCAAGAGTCTTCTCCAACACTACAGTTCAAAAGCATCAATTCTTTGACACTCAGCTTTTTTTATGGTACAACTCTCATATCCATACAAGACTACTGGAAAATCCATAGCTTTTACTAGATGGACCTTTGTCAGCAAAGTAATATCTCTGCTTTTTAACATGCTATCTAGGTTTGTCATAGCTTTTCTTCCAAGGAGCAATTGTTTTTTTAATTTCATGGCTGCAGTCACTGTCCACAGTGATTTTGGGGCCCAAGAAAATAAAGTCTGTCATTGTTTCCATAGTTTCCCCAACTATTTGCCATAAAGTGATGGGACCAGATGCCATGATCTTAGTTTTTTGGAGAGCTCCTCACCAACAAAGTTGATTCCCCACTGCTTATACCCCCTTGGACAGCCACATGGACCCACCCCTGGACAGGGACCAAACTGAACTTCTCCGCTTCCCATCCCTATGCCAGCTCTCAGTGGGGACACTACTCTCTCCAGAAGCCTCCCCCATCCCTGCGTTGTCTGCTTGAGTCCCCTGGGGGTTTATCTCCAGGTACCAGTGCTGCCTGGGGACAGACTGCTGGGCCTCCAGTCCTGGTTCCCCCTGTGGGGGCACCTGAGGACCGCTGATAGAGTGCCACAGGACAATACAAAGCTGTCCTCTTAGATCTGGAGGCCAGAAGCCTGAAACCAAGGTGTGAGGTGGGTCTCTGCTCTTGAGTCTGTGGAAGACCCGCTGCTGGCCTGGCCCCAGCCTCTGGAGGTGCTCCGTGGCCTGTGTCCGCATCACTCCACTCCCAGGCTCTGCCTTCACAGGGCCTCCTCCCTGCCTCATCACCTGACTCTGGTTTCTCTTCCTGCAAGGTCACCAGTGATTGGATTAGGGCCACCTAATGACCCCATCTTGGCGACATGACCCCATCTTGGCGACATCCGTAAAGACCCTGTTTCCGAATCAGGTCG